CTGAATAAGTCAGATAGTTTATTATACGGAAGGTAGTTCATGCTTCAAAAATGCTTTATCCTTGCTATTTCATCCTCAATACACTGAAGACATACTTGAGAAATCCCATTTAGATAATCACTGGCCATTGATGACGGAAATTAAAAACAGAGAAAAGGACCGGGTCACCGAGTCTGTTTCCCAGGAGACAACATGGAAGAAGCAATCCCAGTCACAATGCCTGGATGCTCCTGCTGTGTGTTAACTCAGCTTCGTAAGCTTGCCTCTGTAAGTGTGGCTGTGATAAATGCCAGACAAAGCCCAGCATGGCTACCCCCGGCCTTACTCTTCACTGTTGCCTGAAGTCTTTTACGCAAGGACCACATTGTAAACCTCCAGGACCCACAAGGAAATAGCAAGGTTCTGTAATAAAAGTGACACCTGTGAATGTCCCACCTTGCTTGTGCAATTTATTCAGACACATTTCCATTTCTCTGGCAGATACTAAGCCAGCTGCTTCCTGAAGAGCATCTTTTCCTATATTTGGAGGTTCTGGGATTCATTGCCTTGATCAGCTTGCTGAAATCAGATAATTTTATTCCCCTAACTAAAATTCTCCAGAGGATTCCCATTGCACTTAAGAAAGAAAGAAAAAAATCCCATCTTTTTACCCCAGTCATCAGAGCCCTACCAGAGCTGGCCTCTAACCTCCTCTTGGACCAGCTTCCCCTTGTTTGCCTTGCCGCGCTTTAGGCTCATTCCCACCCCAAGCCTCTGCCCTTACTGTTCCTTCTGGCTAAAGTGCTCTGCCCCAGATTCTATGCTGGAAGCTTCATATCTCAGCTCAAATGGCACTGTCTCAGTGAGGCCTTCCTTCACCATCTGATCTAACATCCTGCCCTTTTTCCTCCCTACTTTTTATCATATCACCTTATTATATTGTTTTTCAAAGCACTTACATTTACTGCAATTACCTTACTCATTTGTCATCTTGATTATTGTTTCCTCTTCATGGAAGTAGACAGCTTGACTATCTTCATCGCCTCATAGCCCTTGTGCCTGAAAGAGCACTTGGAACATAATAGCTTCTTAGCAAATATGACTTCAGCGGATGGATTAGTAGGCAGCGTTAGGGATTTGAGTCTCCAAGTTCTTCGTGGGGTTTTTTACTACTAGTCACTGTGACTAATAGTCATGGGGATATGCTTGCTCTGAGAAAGTCTTTCGTCTAATGTATAATTAAGATAGCCTGGGATCATTCCACTCATCATGGCTTAGCTTTATGGACAAGAGAGAACTTACAGAGAATGGGATCTAGAGAGACAGATATTGTTGGAGTGATTAAACCCGAAGAGACTTCTTACTTACTTTTAGTTTTCTATATAGATAGAGGGTGTCACAAAAGACCAGAGCTCAAATCTCAATTTCCTCACTAGCAGAAGGTTGGAAAGAAACTCAACCTTTCTGACTTTGTATTCTCATGTATTGCCTGCCTGATTTCTAATCTAAAGGATGTTATGAGGACAAAGTGAGATAATGTGGCCAAAACGCTCTGAAACCTTTAAATTGCTATTTGGATGTAAGATATCAGTGTTTACATATGAGCATCTTCAGTGATCTATCTGTTGATCCCTGTCTTCCTCACTAGGTGATCACTTTTTGCTCCTTTTTGTATCTGCAGTGCCCAGTGCAGTAGGTATTCAATACATTATCGAATGAATGAATGAGTGAATACTACTATTATTTCTATCTTTCTCTTGGTCAACTCCTGTCTATTTACTGTAAGCCTTATTGACTTTGTACTTATTTTTCACTCTCTCTTTTTTGTAAGCTGTTGGCCATTAAATGGAACAGTTTCATAGGAACATCTCTCATTTAAGGTAATTTCAGTGTGACTTTCTGCTGTTATTGTCAGTGTATATGGCCTGGACATGGGTTTTGGCATCCCAGAGTACTATAAGGGAGAGAGAGAGCATCTGCCCAATAAACAAAGTGAAAGGCACAGATCATACTGGTCATGGCCTTCTAGGGTATGGACTCAGAATATTTGAGACTTTTATTAATCACAACCCCAGCCTACTCCAATCTATGTGCTGTATCCATTGAGGAAACTGAATTTAAGAACTTAGTGAATCATGTCCTAGTCTGTTGGGCATTACCTTTATTTTGGGATTTGGGTTATTTGCAGATTGCATTTTTTTTGGTATAAATGAGCATCACTGTTTATTTCCATTTTGCAATAAAAAGCTACTGGCTGTTTAGCCAGAAAGCAAATATTTTCACTTTGAATTGCTTTCTGGACATTTTTCCAATAGTTTGATTTGAAGCTGTGAAACATATTACTCCCTTTCCCTCCTCCCATCCACCCTCCCCATCATTTCCTTTGAGGTCCTTCAAAACCAATGCTTCAAAAAATAAAGCCAGTATTCTTTGATTGCTCCTTTACCATATGAAAGGATCAGAGGGGCTGAAATAAATGCTTGTTTGGACCCAAAATGCTGCATGCAGTCAAGGAAAGTCTGCCAGCCAACCAGGTATTCCAGAATATCTTGCTTTAGGCCAGCCTGCCCAGGGACTGGCATTGAAATGTGTCTGGGCTTTGGTATTTTCTGTGTAGCTTAAAATGCTATCTTTGGGCACATTTATTGGGCTGCATAAGAAATATGGTACAATCTGCATAGTGATGAAGTTACGTATGTCTTAAACATGTTCTCCAGTCATAGAATATTCCTTTTGCAGACCTTTGGATCCCTTAGGTTGTTTTTAAATTTAATTTTAATTTTCTATTTTTCCATCTGGATGCACTTTCCACTCACCATTTATTTAAAAATTTCCAGCTTGTTTGGATCTTTATCCATTCAAAACCTTACCTCCAAACCTATGCTCTGTTACACAATAACATACACACACCCCAAAACAAATTTTAAAAATCTTAAATTTAAGAGTTTAATTTCATTTCCAGCTATAATTTACTATCAGTAGCCTGGATGTCCTTTATTTTAGTCATTTCCAGCCCTGCTTGGTTCAACTTAAGGCACTCAGATCCCAATTGCCTCATAGTCTAGGTATTTAGTAGATTTGTAACTTTCCTTTTTATTTTGGTGACATTGCTTAGGTATGCCCTGCCATTCTTGACATAGCTGATAATGGGAAGCCTTCAAAAGACATTTTTTCTTACTTTTTAATAACAACAAGTGATAGCAGTTGAATAAAAAAGGAAGAAAGAAAAAGAAAAAGAATTTCAAAAAGAATCATCATGAACAAAACAGCAATGAATTGCAAATTTTCAGAAATAGGTTGGGTATTAATATTTCAGATTCCTAAAAAGTAGGTGAACTGTTTTCTTCTCATTTTTTTCCATAGTGTCCTTTAAGTAGAGGATGAAGGATGCTTTATGGAGGTGAATAAAATTCACTGCCCTGTCATTATGGAGGGCTGACTCAAACTTTCAAATATTTTGGGTGGTAGGAAAAAGTAAACACAAGATAATTTTATGAGTTTTAAAAGTGTTGTCTGAACCCCAGGGAAAGATCCAACTGGACCACACCTGCTTTATCCCTCCTGGATACATAATACACACTGGCAAATTAAAGGCTTTGAGATGTCCTATTGTAACGAATCTTGTTTAATTTGGTATTTCCCACACTTAACAGACTATGAAATTCTCTTCTCATAGAGTAAGAATTAACTTTCATAGAAAATGTCCACAGAACACAGTTAAAGAAAGGTTCTGATCATTCTAAAACAAAGGGTGGGTGTATGGGGCACTGTCTTTGCCATGTGATCAGCAAGAGAGAACCAGGAGAAGTAATCAAGTTCAATGGCTACCAGCTGGAACCTAGGGATGACAGCACAAGATATGCTCTTGAGTGGAGAGCCTCTGCCCACAGTAAGAACAAGACTGAGGGAGAGAAGAGTTGCTGAGATGGTGACCCTGAGTAGGCATGCAGAAAGGTTCATCTTTCTGGTAAGCCAAGCTTTTCCAACTTCGTTGGATATTTGAATCATGTACTTGTTTTATGTTGCCTTGAAGACAATTGACTGAGTTTCTGTTTTTCAATGTATATAGAGAAAAACAACATTCCTGAATCATTAATTCAATAATTACTCAGCATATCCCTGGGGAGTGTTCATAATCATATTTTTAAAACAGGTTCAAATTATTTGTCATTGTTTTCAATTTAAAACACATCAGTTAGAGTTCCTACAAATTACACACACGTGTGTGAGTGCACACACACACGCACACCATTCACACCCACAGGTCTGTTTCTCATTCTGTGGTGACATGTAATGAAAGGTTATTGTGAACCTGGTCTACATAAGACAGCTGTCCTGCAGATGTTCCAGAACTATATTAAATGCTCTACACATTCATATTCGCTTCTGGGAGTCTGAAGCTCTCACCCCAACCCAAGTACTTCAACTTCTCATTCCTCTTTCATTTACTTTCAAACTGAATGATTAAGGGACAATATGAAAAACACATGTAAAATGCCCACTGAGTTTTCTTTTCTTTTCTTTTTTCCTTTCTTTTTCATACATAAAGATAATGGGGGAAAGCCAATGTAGAGGTACTGGGGCCAACCAGTGGTTTACTTTGAAGCTTACCAGGGACACGAGGGAAATTTGCCAGGACATGGATTATGTTTGAAGAGTCAGATCAAAGAAAGAAATATGGAGTGTCAGAGCCTGGCATCTCCTGGGCTTGGATGTCCAAAGTGCAATGTTCAAAGCAATTTTCATTCCTTGTCCGTGTTGCATTTTGTGTCACTCTTCTCTTCCAAAAAGTCCTTGAAGCGAAAAGGCATGTGTTTGTTGTGGACAAAGATGTAAACTATCATCACATTTTAAAAATGGAATTGTCAAGTAGCCTTGGATTTAGATTTCATTTGGGTATTCACTGATCCCTGGAGAGGTTTAAATCCCTGGTTAGTGAAGTATTTCATGCCCTTTATCCTTTCTAAGGATAGTCTCTAAGTTCATTTAACTTCTAATTATTTTTTTCTTTAATATTCCAGGGTCCCAAAGGGAACAATTTTCTATGACTTTACTCCTCTTGGAAGGAATGAGGGAAAGTTCAAAAGGACTCTCTGGTGAGAATGGGCATGAAAAATAGACCAATACATGGTGGCTCAGGCTTTGTACCTACTAAGACGTTACACTTTTCAGGATAATAAGGGGAGCTGTGGCAAGCCTGTGATCTTCTGAAGTTCCAAGTGGAGGCATGGAGTGCTCGTGATGGCAGTATTTCATGGAGAATGTAATTGATGTTTGTACTCTAAACTCCAAACCTAGCAAGTCGTTTGAGTGTGATTTGAGAGAGAAAAAGTCTGTGCCTTGATCATCGATGATCTTCTGCCCTTCTCACAGACCCCAGCGCCACAAAGGAGCAGAGCCCCTTCATTTGGCCTTCTACTGCCATATCTTCTCTGCTACTGCTCTTCAAAATTCTGGGAATCTTCTGAGTCTGGTAAAAAAAGGTGGATGCTACATATATTTCTGATTTTGATTCTCATAATAACATTCCCTAAGATTTCCAAAAGGCCAACACCTTGAAAAAGCATGTTAAATGGCATAGTGTTTGGTTTTTGAATGTTTTAAATGCTGCATGCAACTTTGGTTGGTCCTGGGTATGCATACTGCATTGAATTAGAAATCAGTGCAGTGATCCTTTTCTGCTTTATTTTCTGCAAGAAGGTTTAGTAGTAGACAACTCTGTCTGTGGAGCTGGGGTGACTTTCCAAAAGGGAACATGGAGCCAAGGTTTTCTTTCTCCTTAAGCAGCAGAGCAAAGCTTGGCCTCACACATGTAAGTTGTGACAGGTCCATTTCTGGCTGTGTCGGATCCCAGAATATTATTTCCTCTTGTATTTCATGATTCTGTCACTCCAGGGTTGGAGTCACTCACTCTATTACCATCTTAGATTTCAGTTTCTATAATGGGACCATCTGAATTCAGCATTAATTTTCTTTTCCCTGGGAAGAAAATAACAGATCGTTTATTTAACCCCTTGAGTCATCAATTCATCAATAGGCCAGGCTCTGTACTTTGGGATAGTTCAACAAATACTTTTACCACTGACCACAGAGTTGGATAGAATAATCCCTTTCTGTAGAGAGCACAGGGGATGATCCAAGTCAGGGCATATGGGGAATGATTTCTCTTGCCATCTGCATTTTGCATAGGATCATGTAACCACCAGACCAGTAGGCCCTCTCATTCACCCTGTCAGCTCTAAATAGAGCAGACTTCCCAAAAAAATGTGTAGCTAAATCCGAACAAAGAAATGGTTTATGCTCTTCTCATCACATCCTTGCATCGTAGGCATTAAAATGCTTCTTTTCTTTTCCTCTTAAGATCTTTTACTTTAAAATTTTTAAAAGCTCACAGTGTATCAGCATAGTCTTCTTACATGTTTGTTTGTTTTTGTTGTTGTTTAAGAATTAAATAAAGAAAAAACTTTCTCCCCATCCAGTTTGAACTCCTGTTTTTGTTAAGCTTGTGTTGTTACCCTTTTCACTAGGGTTCATTTAAATTAATCCTCAAAGGTTTGAAACAAAATGAACTAACATATGTATGTTAAAGGTCATGTCTATATACAAATCTGTTTGACTATTTTGACTAAATATATGAAACTACTTAGTAAATGGAATGAAAATTTGGGACTCTCATACCAACCAGTTATTTAGGGATGTATATCTTATTAAATGATTTGGGTGAAACTTGGACTTTTCTGTTAGGTATTTGTGTCCCATAGATAAATGAACAAACTATAAGACTAAGAGGGAAATTCACCTGACAATAATTACAGGTTTTTTTTTCCAATGACTGAGAACCATGGAATTGTGAGAATTTTTTGTTGTATTCAGTTCTTCTCATTTGTGTGTGTGTGTGTGTGTGTGTGTGTTTCTGTATGCCTAACCCATTACCTTGATGGATATTCTATTCATTGGTACTCCACTTGTTGCTAATTGATTCCTTTGAAATTCCTTCTCACTTTGTGACGATGCGGACTCCATTGTTGGTGGATGACATTATGGGAAGAATAAATTGTGCATGTAGACTTCAGATTGTACCTCCATGCAGTCTTTGTGCCAAAGTAGAGAAGAGTGATAGAAACCACAGTGAGGGGGGAAGATCCGTGGAAAGTTTTGGCCTGCTGCTGCCTCTGCAGAGTATCACACAGGTGGCCTTTCTGACCAGGGGTTTTAAGGGATGCTTCATTTGTCAGTGTAGAAAACTTCAGAATGAGCACCTTCTCAGAAATCCCAGAACAGCAGCATCTTTGTTACTTGCTGTTCCCTTGGAAGGTTCTAGAAGATAGGGGAAGAGACCATGCTGATTCGGGACGGGAAGAGCCCAGTCTTCCTATCAGCACCTCAGGGATCAATCTGTCATCTGTCCCCTGTAATCTCAGGAGGCTGAGGCAACCATGTGTTTAATAATATCGAGGAGATTGTGATTTACAGAAGTCAGAGCCAGGTCTGGAATCAATGTGCATCCATCCTTTCTCTTGGGAGAAGGATTTGTGTTTCATCACTCCTGAATATTGCAGGGTGCTTAATAGTGAAATAATGGCCCTACTTGTAACTTTGGCAGCTAATAATTACTGAGTGTTCACTATGAACAAAACAATACACTAAGCACTTCATAAACATTACCTTATTTAATCTTGATCATGATTCTACAGTGTTATTATGAGTATTCTCACCTTAACGACAGGAGAATTTACTCTTAAAGCTTATATAACTTGCCCAAGGTCACACAGCTGGTATAGAGGTTTGAATAGTTGTCCCCAAAAGATATGTCCAAGTCCTAATCCAATGTGAATGTGAATGTGAATGTGACCTTATTTAGAAATAGGGTCTTTGCAGATGTCATTAAAGTAAGGATCTTGAGATGAGATTATCCTGGATTTAGGGTGGGCCCTAAATCCAATGTTAAGTCTCCTTATGGAAGAAAGGAGAGGAAGATTTGTGACACACACAGAGATGGCCATATGAAGATAGAGGCAGAGATTGGAGTGACACATCTATAGAACAAGCGACATCAAAGATTTGCTGGCCACCACCAGAAGCTAGGAGAAAGGCATGGAATGGATTTCCCCTCAGCCTCCAGAAGCAACCAATCCTGCCAACACCTTGATTTATGGCCTTCAGAACTGTAAGCAAATAATTTATGTTGGTTTAGGCCACACAGTTTGTGGTCACATGTTAACGCAACCCTAGCAAACTAATACAGCTAGTAAGTGATGGGAACAGCATCGAAAACTGAACACCAAAGCCAATGTTTTGAGCCCTATTCCTTATACATCCACCATCTTGACTAGGCCAATGCTTGTGTCTAATAAACATTCAATAAATGTGGCTGGGTTTAAACTTACTTGAGAGAAGCAGATGGTTGAATTTTGATTCTTCTCATTTCTTTGGAAAAATGTTAGTGAAAGAAAGCATTTGGAGTAAGAACAGCTGTATTTTTTGGTGGTAGCCATTTGGAACACTGTGAGCATGTTCCTGTAAGATTTTCCTCTTGATTACATAAATAGCAAATGATTAAAATCTCAGAGATTTAGCATTTTAGATTCATTGATCAGACATTTGCTAAAAACCTCCTGAAATGATAAAGGCAGTCCCCAGACAGAAAACTCCCCAAAACATCTTCCAAGAGCACCACCTTAGTTGTTTTCTTATTTTTACTTCAGTGGAGATAATTATTTTCGTTTATTTTTTTTTAAGATTTTATTTATTTATTTGAGAGAGAGAGCGCAAGTGGGGTGAGGGGCAGAGGGAGAGAGAGAGGCAGACTCCCTGCTGAGCAGGAGCCCAATGCGAAGCGGGGCTTGATTTCAATCCCAGGACTCTGGGATCATGACCTGAGCCAAAGGCAGACACTTAACTGACTGAGCCCCCCAGGCGCCCCGATTATGTTAGTTTATGAGTGTCTCATTTTAAAGGGGCTTGCAGTTTACTCTGCAGGAGTATAAAGTGGTGGAGCAAGTTAATAGTGAAGAGGGCATGGAGAGGAAGGAGGGAGGGCAGGATTTCAGGTATCACCCACAATAAGACGGTGCACAGGGTGTGTCTTTGAGTCATCTACACCTGCACAGGGTGTAGATGTCACGTGTTCTATATGCACCCCACTTATTGTAAGACACAGCAAGAGAGGGAACACAAGCAGGGGGAGTGGGAGAGGGAGAAGCAGGCTTCTCGCTGAGCAGGGAGCCCAATGCAGGGCTCGACCCCAGGACCCTGGGATCGTGACCTCTTGCAAGTGCAAGAGGAGAAAGTATTACCAGGAAATGGCTGATGGAAAAACACAACATTTTGCTCGTGGTACAGGTTTGAATAAAACAATGGACTTAAACCTTTCTGCCATAAATGGTTTCTCTCAAAGAGAGGATTTTAAAGGACTTGGCCCAGAGGTATGGATTGCTCTCCTTCTCAATTTACATTAGATTTTGGTTTTGGTAAGAAGCATTCTTTTCCTATGCCCTTTGTCAACACCATCCAGGGGCTGCAATGGTCAAGGAGAAAGGTCACCCCACAAGCCTCGGACCTCTGAGAGTGCGGGCAACACCTCGCCCGAGTGATGACTCAAATCTCATTCTGCTGAAACCAATAGTTTTTTCAGTGTAGCACTGAAATGGCAGAACGTTTATATGGCTTTTCCCCCCAAACCATTTGTGTCCTTTTTGTAAAATTTATTCTTTATTGGAACTCCATAAGCTTGGCATTATTATCCCTATTTTTCAGATGAGGAATTGAGGTCTGGGGATGTTAAGTGGCCTGCCCCAGACCACATGGCTCTCAAAGAATCCTGGGATCTCTGGGGATATTTCCTGATCTGTTTCTAAGTGGAAGAGTGGTTGGGAGCTGCGGGCCTTTGCTTCACCAACCCTCAGGCCATTCCGGGCCAGTGTAAGTCTGGTGCCATCGCTGAGAACAAGCTGTAGAAATGCTTTAAGAGTTGGATGCTACAGTAAACTAAAAACACAGGAAAGGAAAATGGATTAAATATCCATTTCATTCCAGGAGAGTTATATGCATCTAGTTATAGAAAACACCCTGGAGCCGCCAAGGTTTCGTTTTTGTTTTTTTTCTCCTCTTCTCCTTGGGGGAAGATAAACGAGAGAATTTTTAAAAATACTGTTGACATTGTTAAATTCTAAACCTCCCTCTGCTCCTACCAGTAACTTTCCAATAGCTAAATAGGAGCAATTTAGGCATAGTACATAAGACAAAGTAAATCCACTAATACCCAGTTGTCTGTTTTCCCAGGTGTTAAAGTGTGTATTTCCAGCAACTAAATTAAAATCAAAGATTGCCAGCAACTATTTCTAACCAACTGTGTCTTGGTGCTTGAATTTAAGAAGGATGTAGTTCAAAAAACTGTAAGAATATTTTTTAGTCTTGAAAAGAAACACCTCTTCAGAGACATAAACTACTTCATTCCATTTAATCACCTTACTCTTTGTCTTTACTATCTTAGTAACATTTTCTTTAATTAAAAAAAAATCATCTTAAATCTACATAAAATTCCTTGGCTTTTATAAACACATAAAAACTTTGGAAAGAAAACAAAAATTACTTGTAACCCCACCATTTGATGATGACAACTGGTAGCATTTTGAGATACAGCCTTCTAGTTAGTCATGTGTTTGTATGTGCATATGTGTACATGTGTGTGTGTGTATGTGTGATTTTACAAAATCCAAACTGTATTATTTTAAAATATGCTTTTACACTTAGCCATATATTATGAACATTTTTTTCATATCACTATTATTCTGTGGCATCATTTTAAGTAACTTTATAATATTTGCTTTAATCTTTTTGTTTTATATTTTTAGAAGTATAAATAACGTGCTGTTAATAGCCACTACATAAATCTTAGAAAATGTCTCGGATTTCCTTAGAGGAATTTATGATTGAAAGAGTATGCACACATTTAAGGTTTTGGATACATTTTGTCATTTTATCCTCCTAGAAAGTAGGAAATATTTACACTTTTACCAGCAGTGGATTAAAGACCCCATTTCCTTGTACCCACACTTTGTTTCAATAATTGCCAATGTGGTAGGCAAAATACAGTATTTTGTTACTTAAATTTAAATCTATTATTAAAATGGGTAAGAATTCTTCTGTTATTCAGTCATGTTCTTCTTTTCTGAATTGTATATTGTTTATTATATTTTTAGGTCTTTATTTTTTTGTTTTTATTGCTGATTTCTAAGTGCTGTATAATTGAAGAAAATCTTTTTTCTTGCCAGGAATTCCTTTTACATTACTATTTATGTGTGAATGAATTTTCCATTTTTAATTTTTAAATTGTTTTAATTTTAATTAAGTTTTTAATTTTGTTGATGGCATTTTTGACATTAAGAAATTTGCTTTTTAGGTAGTCAAATCTATCAGGCTTGTCTTTTATTGATTCTATCCTTAAAATATTTACTTCTTCATAACTTCTATTGCCCCAGGATCAGAAAAATGTTGATAATTTTTTCTTTTTATTTTTAAAGATTTTATTTATTTATTTGACAGAGACACAGCAAGAGAGGGAACACAAGCAGGGGAAGTGGGAGAGGGAGAAGCAGGCTTCTCGCTGAGCAGGGAGCCCAATGCAGGGCTCGACCCCAGGACCCTGGGATCATG